AACTTGTTAAAAAGTTAATCCATTGAGTTAATCTATACCCAACTATCTAATTACATTATTTGAAGAATTTAAAACATGAAATGGAGTTGGCATTGATAATTGACAGAAAATGGACGTTAGTATGTTGCCGTTTGACAAAAAAAAATTTAGTTGATTTTTTAGAGTTGAGATTTTTTTAGCTTGGAACTAAAAAGTTTGTTTGGCAATTTTTTTTTTTTTTTGAATGTTGTGAGAAAAAATAAAATAATTATTGTTTAGATGTAACATTTTGTTTTGTTAACTTATTTAGTCTATTTTATTTTTTTTTATACTTTTTTAATCTCAACCAACTTAGTCAAACGAAACCTATATTTGTTTAAATAGGAAGAAACGGCGAGTTGGCCTCACCTCAGGAGGTAGACTTGAGGGAAGAATTCGAAAATATTCGACAAACTGCGTCGTTTAGGGACACAACACCAATGCTATCAATCGCCTCACAGCACCCACCCCTCTCCCACCCAAATCACGTGAAATTAAATGCATAACTTAGGCTTGAAGTTATTTGTATAGCTTTTCTTCATAATATAATTATACTTTCTCCAAAATTTTAACAGTAATAAGTCCGAGAATTCATAATCTAAACATAAAATTAGACACAAAAAATAAATAAATAGATAAGATCTTGTAAAAGTAGGTTTCACCAACAAGTCTTAAAAGTATTCATCTATACACCTTTGTGGCCGATTCCATACTTGATTTTTGTATTCTCAGCATTATTGAAACTGTAAAGCCTGATCATTTGATGTTATTTTTCTTGGTTAATTACACCGAGATTACTTTAATTATTAGCAAATATTAGTTTACCACTCCTTATTTATGAACTTATATACTTTGACTCCCAATTATAAAACTTGTACAAATGGTTTTTTTTTTTTTAAGATAGGACAAATGTCATTATTTTTAAGAGGTGAAAATAATGAATTTTTATAATTGAAGGATAAAAATATACGAGTTTAAAGATGAGTAGAATCATTAATAGTTGAGAAGGGTTTTTATTTTTTGATTGTTAGACAAATGTTTACAACAATAATGAAAAATAAAAAATTTAAACTCGCTTAAAACAGATAATAAGAATCTTATAAAAATTGTAAATTCTGTATAAAAATGAGTGCAAGAGAGAATGAATAATTCTTTTAAACTCCCTTAAAGACTTTTTTTTTAAAATTATTTTTTATATTTATTAGTATTGTTTGAACATAATTACTAAAATTTGCGTATACAGATAAAGATATTAAGGAATCATTTGAAGAACTGAAAAAGATAAAAATAAATAAATAAATGATTTTGTTACTTCATGGTTTACCAAAATTCCGTACACAATTTAACCCATGATTTGGGAGTTAGTGATGTCCATGTGGAAATAATTTGTAATTATAAGTATAAATTGCTAGCACAATTAGGGTTTGAATTATCAGTCGTTATTTAACCCATTTAGTGCCGAGATTTTAGATTTTACACTTTGAATACCGTTATTTATCAATATATTAACTGACATTGTCGGATATTGATTGATATATATGATTGTATTGGTAATATCAATACGTATATTTTGTTAAATGTTACTTCATAGTTTACCAAAATTCAGTACACAATATTTAAAAATATAAAATTATATGAAAACAATAATTTAAATGCAACAAAATTTCACTTAAATGTTACTCTTCTTATATTTTTAATTGCAAAGTTACTAATTAACCTTGCATAATGAAGCTTATCTATTATATCCTTTTCAACGGATAATATAATAAACTACAAAATTACTAATTAAACATTACTCTTTTTAATTATTATTTTTTTTTGGTTTAGCTGGATTAAAAATAATAATTTTGGACCTTTTGGAGTTGGATTCCGTTTGAGTGAGGCTTATTAAGAATATTTTAATTTTGAACTTAGTATAAAATGTAAAAAATTTAAGTGTTTTAGTGTTATTGTATTTAAAAAAATGAAATCATATATATTATATAAAACTATATTTGATTAATATAATGGAGATGGAGGTGAGAAGAGGAAAATGCGTCTCCACAAGTAATTCTATTTAAACATCCTTACTTATCTTAGTATATACCATTTATTCATTTTACACCATACACAAATTATAACTTTTAATTTTGTCTCAATACACATCATTTTACACCATACAGAAATTAAAACATTGATTAGTATAATGGAGATAGTCTATGTAATGGATGCCGGGCAAGAGGAGAGGAATGCTATGAAGGTGGTGATGATCGGAAGGGAGGGAGGTGACTGCCAGTGGTCAGAAATGACAAGTCACAAATTACCATCTCTATTCAAAACTCAATTAAGTTATTATATTTGAAAGGGGTGTGTCGGTAATTTGATTGAAGGATAGAAATGTAATAAAAAAATTTTATAAAAAAGATGTGTATTGAATTAATTAAGTGTGTGAAATATAATTTCTCCGTCCCCATCCTATTTTGTCATTGAAGTAATATTGGGAAAAATTACCATCTCTATTCAAAACTCAATTAAGTTATTATATTTGAATTTTGTAGGTAATTTATTTAAATTTTGTATGACCTCTTACCATAAAAATTGTTGAAGTGGACAAAAAGGGAGTTTTTTTTTTTGGTAGTATATCAGTTTTCTAACAAATGTTAAATATACCTAATTCATGTAATTCAGAAGTAGGTGCAAATGTTATGAATTTGTAATTTTATATTTAAATTTGTAGATAGATTTTGATAAATAAAAAGAATTATTTAACAATGTTAGTTGGTTTGATTAATAAGAAAAAAAAATCCTTAAGCAATATTAAATGTGATAGTGATTGTATGCAGAGAGCCTTTTTTTTTTTTTTTTTTTTTATGTGATTTTTTTTTAAATGTGATATCCTTCATTTATATAACAAAATACATTGCATGTCTATTTGTGTCAAAATCACAATATCAAATTTAAATTTTAGTACAAGTTTTAACAGAATACATAGATTTCCTTAAAAGTGTGGTTTGTAACCACGCTTTCTTAATTAAAAGCGTGTTTCGCAACATCATTTTTATGATTTTACAATTTTACCACGCCTGGGACGGAAATATTGTGAAAGCGTGGTTTCTAATAACGTTTCAGCTTATTTTAGGAATTTCGCCCAAACTAGACCTAGTTTGGGAAATAGGTTACTATTTTAGCTTATTTTGGGAAAAGCCCCAAAAATTTGTGCAAAAAAACAACTTTATTGGAGAATTTAATCAAACTTCAGAGACAAAAACACATTTTTTTTTTTTTTTGAAAAGTTCAACACATATCCACTATTATCAAAACATCCTTAATGACTAATTTAATATTTTAAACTTTACAATGATATAACTTTTGATTTAAATGTCATTTTTTTAATAAAATTAGTACTTTTAGAATACTTTGGTCAAGATTTATCAAATAAGATCTATGTCGGTTATGAAATTTATTTTTAAAAAAAAATAGTAAAATTTTTACTGTCGAAATTAACATCAATTGTAAAATTTTACTCTATCTCACAATAAAATTTTATTTTGAGTCATAATAAATTTTATTATTTAAATAGTGAAATAATTATCATCGCTAAGCATCGGTCTCTATAATAGTTAATAAACAATTACGAAAACATAACTTTAACGGAGTAAAATTTTACTATTAATTTAAAACAACACATCATCAAATAAATGACATATTACATATTATTATAACAAAAATGTCTAAGACCCTTTTTTTTCTCACTCCCATTGACCCCCTCTCTCTGTCATTGGCTGGATTTTCTTTTTCTTTTTTCCTTTGTCCTCCAATCACCACCTGTCACGTGTGTGTGTGGGGTGGTGGGGGTGGTGATTGGATGGAGGGGGTCTCCATCACTCCTCTTATTATAATAAATCAGAGTAAAATTTTACACACTTCTAAACCGATCATAAAGTAAAATAAAGTAAAATTAATCTAATGGTAACAAAAATATTATCATTCAATCAAATTCAATAAAAAATAATCATAATAAACGAAATATACATTGTTCAATTTTCAATCTTATCTAAAAAAGTTTCAATAATCATTTACTCTTCATCAAAATCAAATTTGATTTTTTTCCCCCAAATTCAGATGAATTGTAAGGTTTATAATTAGTTAGGACTACGAACTCTATGGAATACTATCGATGAAGAAAAGAGCGCGTTGAAAGATTTGATTCAAATCCATACCATATATATCGAATGGCAAGATCCTGAATGAAAAAATGGAAACATTTTTTTTGTCACTGAGGAAGAAAACGCTACTTCTTGAGAGAGTTTATAAAGTAAAATAGTTGAGATTGTCATTTTCACTAAAAATGGACTCAACAATGGTGTGTTTGACCAAATAACCCATTCATTTATTTATGACTAGTTGTGGTCCGAGATGGATCTACAAAACAAAGTGAGGTAAATTAGAAATACATTTTTTTAGATTTGATTAAAATACGAATCGTCTTTTGTGTTTTGAAAATTACATTTTACTTGTTGAGATTTCTAATTTCCTAACAAATTGCCCATTTTATTAATAAATTATTAAGTCAATTAACAGTTTTTAATGCGGTGATGCTACATGTACTAACTAGTGTACCAACATTAATTATGACATTATTATTGACCCCACTGATTAATCAAATTACAAATACCAAAAACCTCTTAAATTATGTCACATCATTAATTAGTACACTAATTAGTACATTAACTAGTGTATATAGCATTATTCTTTTTAATGATGCTAGAAACATATTTCAATTAATAATTTAAGTAATTTTATTATTATGTCGGAGAGTAATTATAAATTTTATTTTTATAATTAATTCTATTAAATAAAAATTTTTAACAAGAAAATATTTATAATTTTTTAAATCACCAGAACTAATCTATATTTTAAACAAATTTCGGAACGTATTTATAATTTAGCCAATAAAGGATAAATAGATGTGGAGTATGGTAGTATTATGCATGGAGCAAAAAATAGTCCAAAATAGTTGCAATGCCCTGCGCCCGAAAGCGCGTGCAGTTCCTTTCCGGGAATCAAAATCTTCTACATGGGGTTGAGATTTGTCTCACAAACATTTCTCTCTCTCTTCTTTTATTTTGTTATAGGAGTATTATTTTTAGGGTAATATTCTTTTATTTTTGTTTTTGTAAGCATTATTTTGGATGGGCACCCAAAAGCTATTGACTCTATTAAGAGTGTGCATCAGTTCTAAGTCATTGAAACAAGGCAAACTCATTCACCAGAAAGTAATTACTTTAGGCTTACATAACAACATTGTCTTGTCCAAAAACCTCATCAACCTCTACTTCTCTTGCCAATTCTTTGAATCTGCTAGGCTAGTTTTTCAATCCATTGACAACCCATTAGATATTTCTTTGTGGAATGGCCTTATGGCAGCTTGCACCAAGAACTTCATGTTCACTGATGCTCTTGAGCTCTTTGAGAGGTTGTTCCACTTCCCTTATCTAAAACCTGATAGTTATACATACCCAAGTGTTCTAAAGGCTTGTGGTGGATTGGGCAGAGTTGATTATGGTCAAATGGTTCACACCCATGTGATAAAAAGTGGAGTTTTAATAGATGTTGTGGTTACTAGTTCTATAGTGGGAATGTATGCAAAGTGTGGTATGTTTGGCTTGGCATTGCAATTGTTTGATGAAATGCCTGAAAGAGATGTGGCTTGTTGGAATACTGTAATCTCTTGTTACTATCAAAATGGGCAATGTGAGAAAGCACTGGAGTTGTTTGAGAAAATGAGGGTTTTTGGGTTTGAGCCTGATTCAGTGACAATTACGACTGCTATATCGTCGTGCGCAAGGCTTTTGGATTTGGAAAAAGGGAAGCGAATTCACAACGAATTGATGAAAAATGGGTTTGTGTTGGATGGTTATGTTAGCTCTGCCCTTGTTGACATGTATGGAAAATGTGGTTGTTTAGAGACGGCTATGGAGGTTTTTGAGCAAATGCGAACGAAGAGCTTGGTTTCTTGGAATTCCATTATAGCAGGATACAGTTCAATTGGTGATAGCAACTCATGCATTGAGCTATTTGGAAGAATGAAAGAAGAAGGAATTACACCCACCTCAACCACGTTAAGCAGCTTACTTATGTCTTGTTCTAGATCAGCTGACCTCCTACTTGGAAAATTTGTTCATGGATATATAATAAGAAACTACGTGGGGACAGATATCTTTGTTAACAGCTCACTTCTTGATCTGTATTTCAAATGTGGAAGTGTTGTCTCAGCTGAAAGTGTCTTTGAGAAGATGCCAAGAACAAATGTTGTAGCTTGGAATGTAATGATTTCGGGATATGTCTCAGCCGGATCTTACTTTCAGGCTCTTCGCATCTTCAGTGACATGAAAAACGCTGGAGTAAAACCAGACGCCATTACATTTACTACCATCTTAACTGCTTGTTCACGGCTAGCAGCCTTAGAACAAGGTAAGGAGATTCACAAGTGTATCATTGAATGTAAGTTTGAATCCAATGAAATAGTCATGGGAGCTCTACTAGACATGTATGCTAAATGTGGTGTGGTTGATGAAGCTCTTCATGTTTTCAGTCAATTACCTGAGAGAGACGTTGTATCATGGACTTCAATGATCACGGCTTATGGCACTCATGGCCAACCTTTTGAAGCTTTGAAGCTTTTCAGTAAAATGCAGCAAACCAATACAAAACCAGACAGAGTTACTTTCCTTGCATTAATGTCTGCATGTAGCCATGCAGGATTAGTGGATGAGGGGTGTTATTATTTCAATTCAATGGTTGCTGATTATCGAATCAAACCCACAGTTGAAGATTATTCATGCTTGATTGATCTTCTTGGGCGTGCTGGGAGATTGTGTGAAGCATATGGGATTCTCCAAAGAACCGAAAGCATCAGAGATGATGTTGGCTTGCTAAGTACATTGTTTTCTGCATGCCATTTGCATGGAGAATTAGAATTAGGGGAGGAAATTGCAAGATTTCTTATTGAGAAGGATCGCAATGACCCATCAACTTACATTGTATTAGCAAACATGTATGCTTCTGCCAAGAGATGGGATGAAGCACGCAAAGTGAGACTAAGGATGAAAGAGCTTGGCTTGAAAAAGAACCCTGGCTGTAGTTGGATTGAAGTTGGCAAGAGGATCCAACCTTTCTTTGTTGAGGATAAATCACATCCAGAAGCTGAGCTGGTATATGATTGTCTAGCAAGTATCGCGGTTCACATGGAAAAGGATGAACTGGAATTGAATTAGATATAATAAATAGCATGTACTGTCTAGCACGAGGTGCTTGTATTCAAATTTCAAATTGGACAGAAATTTCTTCATGATGGAGCAACACAAATGAGAATTTTAGAGAATGCAAGTGGTCAGCTTTACAAATCTTTAGAGGCAAGGAGATGCATGAGAAATTGTTTGGTTTCATTAATTTGAGTCCTGCTCAAAACTGAAGAGGCAAAAATTAATTGGTCCTTGATTGGATTATAAAATTCTCGAGGGCATGAAAATTGATTAATAGCCATAATTCATAGCCTTTTTTTTGAACAAAGGTTTTGTTATGGTATTGGGTTTTGCAAATGGATCTTCCCATTCGTCAATGAAGACAACGCGCTCAACAAAAAACTCTTCGGAGGCACAGGGAGTTTGGTAGAAGAATAAGTTACACTAGCAATGTGAAAGAATGGAGCCAGACTTCTGTGGTTCCAAGTATCTCCTCAGCTGTCAGGCACTGGAGAACCTGAAGGTGAGTACAATATTTACTCTTCTAGTTTCATCAAATGACACCAGGATTCATAGGCCAGTGTTACAAATAAACTTTTGACTGTCATTTAAACACTTGGAAGTTGGAACTGATTACAATCAGCATTTGTTGATAGACAAATTTTGTACACATATTTGTGACGAAGATTTCCGTTTAACAAATCCAATTAAATGATAAGACACATGATGCTGTTGAAATTCCATTTCCTGCTAAAAAGAGGAGGAGGGGGGGAAGAAAAATGAAAAAAAGAGGCAAACTATGAAGTACACCCAGTTAAGTCCTTAATAGATGGGGGTTTGGGAGGGGTAGATTGGGTACATACAGACCTAAACATTGACATAATTTGCTCAAAGTTGCCATCACCTCAGGTTTGAACTCACAACCTCGACAGTGGTTAAAACTCGTCCTATCAGCCTTGAGGTTGTGGGTTTGATCATGAGGGCAGTCACTTTGTGCAAATAACGACGAAGGTTTGGTCTGTACCAATTTATCTCTTCAAGTCCTCAATCCAATGGGGACTAAACTGCAAACAACTTAATAAATACATATTTTAAGTAGGTAGGAGAGCAGAGAGAATTTCATTTTAACAAATTAAACATTATTGAGTTGCTCATTTAGTGCAGCTCCCATATTCAGGGAATCAGTGCTAAACGTATTTTCAGCAGCATTTTCAGTCATTTTAATATTCTTATGAGCTTTGCAAGCAGCAAATGATAACAGGCCAGCACTCTCTTCAGTCAAATATGCATGTTAGAGATGAACTCTCAGCTTATTCCAATCGAAACTGACCTGACCTAGGACTTTGAAATACAATGTAACCTAAAGTGAAGTGCATAAGAGGTACAACATGCTAAACAATAAAGAAAGAATAAAGCACACTAAATAATTGTCTATAGCATGTTCAAAAGAAATAAATTATGAGAGAAATTAATCCAATATAATGTTTCTTAATCATTTACACCTATCTCAATTGTGTGGGAACAATTTGGGACCTTTAGGGTAATTTCACCCAGCGCATTGTCCACCCACTAGGTCAAGATTTCGTTTAGGAATTTTCACCCAAGGGAGGTGTTGAAGTGGAGAGAGAAAAGATATTAGAAGAACAACCCTAAACCCGAGGTCCAGCTCTTCTAATTATTTATATTAAGAACAATTTGGTACATTTAGACAAATACGCTCAACTCTCCCTTAAACTGGTGCATATAAATTTTACAGTCGTGCTAGGGAGCTCGAATCTGAGCTCCCCGAATCCCCCTAATCCCAGAAACGATGCCGTTTTTGCTTTTTTTTTTTTTTTTTTTTTTCTGGTTCAATCAGAAACGAAAAAGATGAAGAAGGAAGAAGGAGAAGAGAAGGAAGGAGGAGGAGGAGGAGGAGGAGGGAGGAGGACTGGAGGGGGCCCTAATTACAGGGGGAGGAGGAGGCGGAGGCGAGGCAGAGGCGGGGGCTGCCGGAGACGACGATCGGGCGAGGCGACGCTGGGTGACGTTGCGATGAGCTGCTGCGAGGACGCCGGGCAACGATCGGGCAGCGACTGCGAGCCCTCTTCCCCTCTCTTCTCCCTCTCTCTCTCTCTCCCTCCTGAATTTCGGGGGATTCGGGGGGGAGGGGTTTCGAGCTCCCAAGCTTTATTCTAAATTTTATAAGTTTGACATTGACAATACTTTATGAGGAGACTGCTAATATAGGAATATTATGAATATATAAGGAAAGAAGTTGAAATTGTTTTTTCAAAGAGACTGCTAAAACAGTCTAATTATTATGCATGTTATCTACATTTTCTATCGTGTTTTGTGGGATATTATTAAGATGAGATAATCATCATGATACTTACCAAAATCCATGTGCAATGTCAAGTGTCATGTATGGTGACCTCGCTATGTTTATATGCTTATGGGACAATATATGTGTCAGCCTTGCATTTTAGGATGTGTGGCCATGGCCTTCTTGTATACATCTTTTCATAGCATTTATAGTGTTGAACAAAATTGGATATGATTTATTTAGAAATTTATGTTAGAATCTTTGATCCAACAAAATCATCACTTAAGGAATATAAAATGATTAATATCTATAGTGTTGGCTTTTGATTCCATAAACTTATGTGATACCTTTTACTTTTAAGGAAAATTATTTGATACTTTTTATATGTTTTGATATTACTGCTATTAGCCATGATATGCCCTTAGGCATTAGCAATAGAGGGCATTATGACCAACCTTACATGCTCCCCTTAATTTTCAATTTTAAGCATTGTTCCTTCTTGTAAAACCAATTATAGAAATACTCTACTTAAAATGGTGAAGTTTGGGAACTGTGACATAGTTTAACGTGTTTTATTAATAAAATAAACATTGCTAGGAGGTGCTTACAAGTTTATGAAGATGCTTTGGGAATCGTGACATGGTTTAACTTGTTTTATTAATATGGTGCCCAACCACCACTCCCAGATGCTGCCACCTCCTCCCCTCCCTGTCATTTCTGACACCACCTCCTTTTCCTCATTCTTCTTCTTTTCTGCCACAACTACCTCTTCTGCCTTTGCTGCTATGACTCATACCTCGAGTGACACCCCAACCCAGTACCCCTTGCCATCATGAACCAACCTCCCAACCCTTCTCTCGTCATGAGCCCCCCTCCTCTTTTTGCCTCCTCCGTAAACCCTAGATCTAGTCTAGGATTTAGGGACGAGGGGGAGTAAGAAGATGAAGAGAATAGGAGTAGGGGTGTAAAATTGGGATTAATTGGGGTGTCTAACAAAAATGAGTAAAATTCAAATTTATAATTTGGGTGTCCAAAGAAGTGGGGTGCCCAATCAACTTATTTGGTTGCATTTAGAGCTACCTCCCTTCTTTGCTATGGTTTTATAGGTAAATTACTATAACACCCTCAATATTGTATAAAATATCGACATTGCTCTTCATTATATAAGGTTTGGTTAGGGTTTCTCATCTTGTCATTCTCACTCTCACATTAACCCTAGCCTTTCTCTACCATAATCCACAATGGCCGCCAAGATTAGCTATACCTTTAATCCTCACCAGTCTAGTTTGCAAGGGTATGTGTCCTTTGGCATCTACTCTCTCTCTCTCTCTCTGGGGGTATAGGTGTGAAGTAGACGGTGACATAGGTTTCTTCAGTTTGTCCTCTCTAGATTGTTCCAGATCTGGAAAATGTTGATTTGTTATTCATACATATTCAACTTATTCAGTTTTCATGATTTTTGTAATACATTCTAGTTGAGCACATCATTTTTGTTATTTGATCTAGATTTGTTATTCATGCTCATTCCACTACTTTGGATTTCTAGATTTTTATAATACATTCTAGTTAAGCATGCTATTTTTGTTATTCACTCTAGTTCTTTGCTATAGTTTGTCAGATCTGGAAAAATGTTGATTTGTTATTCATACTCAATTCATCTTTTTTGGATTTCCTGATTTCTATAATACATTCTAGTTAAGCACGTTATTTTTGTTATTTGCTCTAGTTCTTTGATATATTTTGCCAGATCTGCAAAATGTTTTCAACATGGCAGAATTTTAATTTTGTTATGCATACTCTCAGTTTTTTAGGTTTTTCTAATTTATATACTGCATCCCAGTTAGGCTTCTTATTTTATTTGATTTTTAATTTATAATTTTCAATTTACCTTTTTATTTTTATTTTATTATTATTATTTATAATCAAAACAAAGTTTGGATCTCATTTCTTAAATTATTGATTGTTGATTTAGTTTTGCTTTGGGGATTGGAAATCTATTGTGTCAAGATTAGAGGAACTTAGTCAAGGGAAGAATTCTAGTTTAGTCCTTGTGGATGATTTGTAATAACTATGGGCTTGATTGGGATAAATAAGGCATGGGGATAGGGGGCAGGTTTAAGGGGAAATCTAAGCCTGGGGACTGGATGAAACTTAAGATGGATACAAGCTGAGGGTACTTGCCATGGAGGCTTATCAGGGTTAAGTTGGGAATACCTGCTAGTTAGGCTGCTAGGGCCTTCAAGTTTGCTTTCCAATATTGCTAGAGCCCAAAATTATTCTTGCTTAAAAACCATGCTTTTTATTTAAATTTCCCATTTGGTTCAACTAAGTAATCCACACCTAAAGGTCAATACATCATTAGGTAATGTTCTTGTTGCTCCTTTAACATTCCCCTTCATCCCTATTCTGATCTCACTTCTTTCTTTATTGTGTGTTTGATTTGTTTCATCTTCTGTTTTCTTGTTTTAAAAAAATTCCTTAACACCTGAAACCCCCATATTCACAAGATCATCAAATCCATTCATTCAAGCCTTAAGGTTTTTGTACATTGTGGTCTTCCTTTTCTCTGTGTGTGCCTACTGAAATAGAACCTGCTGCAATGCTACTTCTTTAACAACGAAGGTCTTTTCATATGTTTCTTCTTGAATGAATCTCTTTCTTTATAATTCTATGTTTCTTCTTGAATGACATGTTCTCTTTCTTTATAATTCTATCTTTGGCTGCAACGCATTTAACAACAAAGGTCTTTTCCTATGTTGCTTGTTCTCTTTCTTTCTTTATTTATGTTGTTTATGTGTCTTTGCTGTAGATTAGATTGGAATGATAATTTCTTGTATATGGGTGTTGTGAGATTGAAGGACCCTGCTTGTGGTGAATATTCCTAGCATGCTTCACGGGGTTGGGTTTTAGGTTTTTATTGTATATATTATTAGTATTATTAGATATATTAATGAAAACATTCTAATGTCACAGTTCAACACGTTAAACTTCTGATCCAGACTGTTTTATAGTTTGTTCAACAGACCAGGTTTGAAAGATGAGAGTTGCCTTTCCTATACCTCCCTCGTTGTGATCTTTATTTCTTCTATTCATTAATGAGAGTTGCCTTTCCTATACCTCTGTCATTGTGATCCTTATTTCTTCTATTCATTATTCACTTTTCAGTCTTTAAATCTCATCTCATCATTCTTATTTCCTCCATTCATTAGGCATGTTGTTAATCTTTAAAATCTAATTGACCAAGTTCTTTCATTAACCCACTCCATTTCATCTATAAAACTCTTCTAGCCACTGCATTGTAGGACCCACATATGAGAAAGGAAGAGAGCAGTTTTGTGTAGCTGATAGCCAATGCAAAACATCCTTTAGACTCTTATGGACGTATCAGTCGTGAAAATATCTGAACAACTGCTGGGGAGACTATTTATGGCCGTAGATGGAACATGGTGGGGTAAACAATTCATGTAGCTTCCCCAAATAGTTGGAGTAAGTTTTTTTTTGACTTGGATATCGTCTATTGACAAAAGGCTTGTGTTCCTCCAATTCCTCTTTGATTAAGGCCATATATTGGAGGATGATACGTGTCAACAAAACCTCATCGCAATTATTTGGGGTCAGCTACATGAATCTTATATCCCCATTATGCTTTGTCTTTGGCTATAACTGCCCTAGCGGTTGCTCATATATTCTCATGATTTGTATGCACGAGATTGTTAAAAATTGTTAAATCACTCAATGACTTCATCAACTTGCTTCGAGTCTAGAGCACTTTTCTCAAGAAGTAATGGTTGGCAAGTGTTCCGCATGAAGATATTGTTGAGCTGCAGTTCTTGGATGGATTTTTCTCTGGAAGATATCTCCGTTTTCTGCTACTTGACTTTTGATGCAGCGTGATTTTTTCCTTCCATTTCAAAAATAAGGGTTTCTTTCTACTGGATGACCAGTATTTGGGAGATTAATACGGGGACTGGAATTCAATATGTTCTTAAGCTGCTGGAAGCATTTTATTTCTCCCAGGAAAGTTTGCTAATAACTTGCTCTGTAGAGCTTAAATCTTCAACAAAAGGCAGTTGCTCAGAAGCCTTTTCAGTTGATTTTAATTTGCAAGGAGCTGACCAACAGTGTGTATACTTCATTATGTTGCTCTAACTCTGATGTGTTTGCTGGTGTTGAAAATATAATTTGGGTATTGGTTGTTTGATGTATTATATCTCCAGTTCCTACTATTTGTGCTCAACTTCATTTTTATTCCTTATTCCTTATTGCATATAGTAGATTTGTTTGATAACATTTTTTGTTACATACGCTGCATTTATTTGGGCAGAAAATATTTTCTGATAGTTGTTTTATGTATTTTTTTGTGTTTAGTATAATGGAAAATGAAAGTTAATGAAAAACATTTTCCCTGATCAATGGAAAATAAGTTTATTTGGGTAGAAAATATTTTTCACTTTTAAAAGGCAGAAAATATATTTCGAACTAAAATTTTACCAATG